AAAAACCGTGCCCCCTGGCGAGCCCGCGGCAAACATCCCGTGAAGCGAGATAAAGAATTTAATTGAAGATTTACATTCAATCAAGATCGAAGATGGTCAAGAAGATGTTTCACGAGCAGCGGCCAAGGGACAACCCGGGTTTCTTTGAAGACAAAGAAAATCTCATCTTTGGGAACTACAACTAAACTGAACAACTCTTATATTGAACAATTCAGAGTCTGAACATCTCTGTTATGGAACAACTTATGTAATAAAACTGGACATGGTATATTTGCCTATATAAGCATAAAATATACAAATACAAATTGAATTAAATATTAAATAAACATTCTTTGTTATAAAATCAAAGAATTATTATTTGAAATGATAGAACAATTAGAAAATAAATCGTTTGAAAATAATTTCTAAAGTCTTACTTGATAAACTATATTCAAACGATTTATTTCCAAAGTGTTGTTTTATTTCAAACATGATCAGGGGTGTCTTAAAACGTGTATTTACGTGAAAATTTTTCATTCATTATTGTTAGGAATGGTTGCGATAATTACAGCGAGGTGTCGCAAGCGTACTGGACAAGCGACGAGAGCGACAGCGCGTGCCAATTATACGAAGAACAATTAGTATAGAGAGAGTTCTTGAATAAGAAGCACGTATAATAAAATAGATAGCCGTAGAGAATAATTGAATGTAAGTCGTGTAAGTCTGTGTAAATAAATATTAATATACAAAACAATAAACAATCTCAAGCATTGCCACAAACTGGTAGCAGAACGTGGTTTGCTTGAAACACGTGGCCGAAAGAAAAGTTCAGTTCGTGAAATATTAAACGATGGCTCAAAGTCAAGCAACCCCCAATATTAGAATTGAGCCGTTCGACGGTAAAAACTATCATGTTTGGGCGTTGAAAATCTCAGCAGTGCTTCGTGCTAGAAGAATATATAAAGAAGTGATTGAACAGGAAGAGCCGCCATGTAACCCAAATCCGGACTCGGCGGAAGCGAAGGAGAGGCTCAGATGGGAGATCAAGAATGATGAAGCCTTCAGCTTAATTATAACAAGGTTAGCGGACGACCAAGCGGGCCAATTTCTCACAGAAAGGAGAGCGAAGGCTATGTGGGATGCGTTGAGGGAGGTCCACGCTAGTAACACCAGTGATCGACGGATCGATATCGGGCTGGAATTGAAAAATATTAGTATGGGGCCATCTGAGTCAGTAAGTGAGTACATAGTAAGAGCTAAAAACATCGCTTCAAGGAGTGCCAGTATCGGCCATCCACGTGGTAAGAGGGGTTCACAAAAGACTAGAAAAAATCGCAACGGTGTTAAGAGCTGGTGGGCTGAATACTTTAGATGGAATTCAACGAGTATTAGAAGAAGAAGAAGCCAGGATAAATCGAAGAGAAGCAACACGCGATGATTTTCAACCGAACAAAGAAGGAGCATATCGTGCCGCGAGATCGCAAAGAACGCCGAGCAACGGCGGTTGCTATGTATGTGGTAGACGAGGACACAAAGCGAGTCAATGTTTATACCGACAGGATAGGGGACGAACAGACACATATAACAGAGATAAGTACAAAAGGCCGTTTAATACTTATAACAACGCGTCATATAATAACAATCCGAGGTCGAATAACAATGATAGCCGTTATAGATCGAATAATAACGGCAGACGAGAGCATGCCAATTTTTCAAATGAAACTAACTCACAGGATAGAGAAGAATATACGTTCAATATAGAGCACAGGTACCTCACTAGGAGGGAAAAGGACGAAGAAAGGACAGCAGAGTGGACTTTAGATTCGGGATCGACATCGCACATGTCGCCTAATGTAGAATGGATGTCCAACATAAGAAGGTACCGGACGATAATAAACTTAGCAGAAAATAATAGGGAAGTTGAATCAGAGGCCGTCGGGGACATCAAGATAGAGACAGAGATGAATGGAAGAGACACGAGCATCAGAATCACGGACATGCTGTACGTACCAAAGTTGAAAACGAATTTACTGTCGGTGAGTAAGCTAATCCAACACAATATTAAAGTGATATTTGAAAGTAGAGAAGCCCTGATCGTAAGCTCGAGTGGAAAACTAATTGCACGTGCATGCGAAAAGAACGGTATATATATTTTAAAGGCGAAACTTATTAGAAGCTGCAGGTTTTCGATACAGAATGAAGACAGGGTTGTACAAAGGAGCTCACCCGCCAGTAAGTTTTTGTGGCATCGACGACTCGGCCACGTAAACGAAGGATACATGGATAACATGAGTTCCGGGGGAGCTGTTAAGAATCTGAAGTACCGGGATGAGAAGCTGGATTTGTGCGAATCGTGTGTCAAGGGCAAATTGACGGAAAGACCACATAGGAGGCTACAAGGAACGCGAGCCACTGCCCCATTGGAGCTACTACATATGGACATATGTGGACCTATGCCGTCTGAGACATTAGGAGGAGCAAGGTACATGTTCGTCCTGGTAGACGAGTACTCAAGGTATTTTTGTTCATATATTTTGACGGACAATTAGTGGAAAAAGTCTTAAATAAAATTAATTATTCATTTGTATTTAGCAAAAGCAACAAAACTGTTCTTGTTTTACTGTCATAAAATTGAGCATACAGCAGATCAAATTAAACAAAAGTAACTAACAGATTTTATTTTAATATTTTGTTGCAAATCCTTTTGTATCTATAACTGCTCTCAAACGTTTAGGCATAGACTCGACTAACTTTTTTGTAGTCGAACACGGAATACTATTTCATATTTCTACAATTTTGCGTTTAGCATCTGTTTTATTACTAAAACTACAATTATTTAATTTTAATTTTAATTCTCGCCACAAATTCTCAATGGGATTAATATCCGGCGATTGTGGTGAAGTGTGTAATAATTTTGGCACGTTATATAGCAGCCACTCTTTAACAATATACGATGTATGTTTAGGGTCATTGTCCTGTTGGAAATAATATATGGCTGGCATGTTTAATTTTAGAGCTGACGATTTCAATTTTTTTTCAAGATATCAAGATATTTTAGTTTGTCCATAGTTGTTTCAATAAATTCGCTATTACCAACTCCACTTGCTGCCATACATCCCCACAGCATTATTGAACCTCCGCCGTGTTTTACAGTAGGAACCGTATTCTTTTGATTGAACTCTGAATTCGGTTGTCTTCATACTATTATTTTTCCATCCGAATTAAATAAATTAATTTTAATTTCGTCGGAAAATATTACGTTCTTCCAAAACTTTATATCACAACTTACATATTTTTTTGCAAATTCCAAACGCTTGATTCTATTCACCTTAGAAATATAAGGCTTCTTCCTTGCTACCCTACCGTGATAGCCTTTATCGCGTAGCACCCTACGAACAGTTTCTGTCGATATCGATTTTCTAATCCTCGATGAAACATCTGTTGTTAATTTTGGTACACTACTTTTTGGATTAATTTTAATTTATCGTATTGTAGGGAACCGTGCCGATAATAACCGCGAGAAATAAAATTATTAAATCGTGTATAAATTTCAGCCGAACAGCGAATCGTTCGCTGTCCGGCACGAGCGAAAAAAACCATCAACACGCGGTGAGCGAACGACCGAACAGCTGATGGGTGAATAACCCAAAAGTGAGAGACAATAGCGAGAAAGAGAGAAAGACCGAAAAGTTCGGCAACCGCGTACGTAGGTGTACATGTGTGGAACAAAATAAATACGAGTGACCCGCGGGAATTAGTTTAGATATTGTCGAGCATACTGAGAGAAAGAGCGAAAAGATTGTAACAAGTGTAACGCGTGTAATAAAATACCGATTTATCAAACCACCGCCGCTTAAAGGAAAAAATCCTATAGTATTATGTACCGTTCGTCAGTTCCAGTCAGAATTTTTTTCCTTCCGCGTCCTGGCTGATTATGCAGTGTACCATTGTATTTGTAATTGTTAATAATTTTTTGTACAGTAGAGTGGGCTCTAGCTATTATTTTGTCAATTTGCCTTAGAGATTTACCTTGGCAATACAAACAATTTAACAACTAATTTTCGCACAGAAATATCAATTTCTGATCTTTGTGAAGCCATAGTGCAAATTTTCGCTAATAAACAATGACAAATGAAAATCAAACGTATCATAGCAACGGAACTATGTTACTAGATACAATGGAATGAATTGTAAACCATAAGAAGTTTTACAAAAGTTAGTTTTCTAGTTACTAATAAACTGTACGCTCAATTTTGTGACGATAAAATAAGCATACTTTTGAAGTTTTTGTTAAACATAGATGAACTATCAATATTGTTTAAAAATTTCTTCACGCATTATTTGCTGAAATGTACAAGTAAAATGTATAATGCGTTTTTACTTTTAAATATGTCTGTTTATGTTCATTTTCCCACAAGTTTTTATTAACTACATAGGTGTACGCTCAATTTTGTGAGTAACTGTATGTATATTATTAATACGATTGAGTATAAATAGCTGAATGAATTTAAATGAAACTTTACATTTAAGTTTTATGTTCTCATTTCAAAGTCCGGTTAGACTTTGACTATAATCAGTCCATGGATAATAATGATTATACCTCTTGTTTCATAGTTGTTCTGATATATAGGCATAATGTATAACAAATCTTTTAAATGTTTCATATAAATCTTAGGAAGAATTAAATTTTATGTAAAAAAAATTATATAAACTTTTTCTCTATCTTCTTTAGAAAAGAAAAAGTTAAATAAAATCTTATACATTACATGCTTACTTAAATCGCATTGAAAACGAATACTACAAATGTTTTAGAATAATGTGCAAAATGGTCTTACTCGCAAAGGGTTAATTTAGAAATAAACGTTTGGTAATTGAAAACAGGTAAGCAGCTTAACCGGCTGCGATTTTCGCTAAAACAAATTGATCATTAGCAACCACGATACCTTACAAACGTTTGATATAGCATCAGGTTATATAAAATGAATAAATTTTATACGTTTAACATAGAAATATAAGGTATGCTAGACACAGAGATTAAGTTCAATTAAATGAACTATGTTTATATGTTTAAGAAATTGTAGTACTCTTAAGCAAGAATCTGCAGTCCTTGCTACTTCTCTGGAGTTTCCATCAATTTGGTAGAATGTTCTCTCCCATTGGCATTTCGGGCAAGAGGTAGTGATATGCTCAATCGAATTAACAGTCTGGCAGGTGTTGCACATTGGTGGATTTTTCTTCTCCAATAGGTGGGCGTGTGTTAGGCTTGTGTGGCCAATCCTTATCCTTGTTAAAACGACTTGGTGCCTCCTGTCGAACGATAATGCAGGACTCATCTCGTAGATATTATTCCTGGTACGATGAATGTGTGACTTATGGCCACTTTTCCAGGACAGATTCCAGTGTTCTTTGAGAATCTTGAAAAATGATTTGAAGACTTCTTTGTGATAGATAGGTGTATTGAGGGGATGACGGGGTGAATTAGCGGCCCCTTTTGAGACTTTGTCAGCCCTTTCGTTTCCCGCAATCCCAATGTGTGATGGAACCCACCCAAACAAAATTTCAGTAGCTTGTTTGTTTGACAGAATTTCGTTGTACTTCTCAATAATTTGTCTAATAATAGGGTTTTTGGGTTCAGTAACATGAAGGGCAGTAAGTGCACTCATAGAGTCTGAGTAGATAATGAATTTGTCATTGTTATTAGCTTTTCCGATGTACTTCAGCCCCTCCAATATAGCATATGCCTCGCATGAGAGAACTAAAAAGTAATCTGGCAATTTAAAGCCAATATTTCCTTCAGGAGTCACTAGACCACATCCAGTACCCAATTGTGCTTTAGATCCATCACAGTATATAGGTGAATAGTCTGAAAATTGGCTGGAACTTTCTAGGAAGGATGCTTTCAAGAGATCGTGGTTTTCAAATTCCTTCGATGGAATGTTGAGGTCAATCAGTGTTGGTATCTTCAATGTCCAGGGTGGAGTGTTAATCACTTTAATTTGAAAGATGTTAGGGAGCGGTATGTGCAACTGTTCGAATATATTAGCAATGCGAATGTTAATTGGCTTCGGTGATTTGATCCTGTTATTAAATAGGTGGGTAAATTTCTTTGAGAAAATTATTTCCTTCGTCGGATTACATGGAGATGATGCAGTGGTTAGAGTATATGAAAGAGTTAATTGCATTCTTCTGTAGTCAAGTGGTGGCAGGTTTGCTTCACTTAGCAAGCCTACTACAGGGCTAGTGCAGAAAGCTCCCGTTGCAATTCTCGCTGCACTGTTCTTAATTGTTTCCAATTTTTTTAGTGTCGTTAATTTAGCCGGACTGTACACTACCGATCCATAATCAAGTTTAGATCTAATTAAAGCTTTATATGTACTAATTAAGATTTTGAAGTCTGCTCCCCACGTTTTGGATGCTATTGCTTTCATGATATTAGCACATGTTTCTTTGATTTGCTTGATGTGAGGTATCCACGTAAGTTTGCTGTCAAACATGAGTCCAAGAATTTTGACTTGGTTGACTACAGAAAGAATACGATTTCCAAGGAACAGCCTTGGCTTATCTTGTACAGTAGAACTTCTATTGAAAATTATAGCTGTTGATTTTGATTCAGAGAACTTGAAGCCAGTATTTAGGGAAAAGGTGCTGAGTTGATTTAAGGTTTCCTGTAGAATAAGTTGTGTAGTTCCAATGTTTTTCCCGGAAGCGAAGAGTGTAAAATCGTCTGCAAATAGTGTGCACTTAACAGGAGCCTTAATGATGTTCGTGATT